ACTACACACATATTTAATTATTTTGTTTTGTACAGTTGTACTTGTAGGACTAAAAAAAAATTTCCTTAAATTTTATGAAAGGTTTGTTTTGTTTGGGTTAGTATTTGTTTGGGTTACTGTTTAATTTAGGTTGATAAAGCTATAATGTCTAATTAGTTTTTCTCAGTGAAACTCATAATAAAAACAATGGATGTTTTAAGAAGCTGTCTTTAAAAGCAAATATATAAATTACTTTCATATACGTGAAAAGAATGTGATTGTTCCATATGCATTTATCATCTTGACTATGAAAGCATAGAATAAGAAAATATAACTTATCAAGCCAAACACTCAATTAGGCGCATAACAGAAAATCACTTTAAGAAACTATTTCATCTCTGTGCTAGAAACATGGCTATCTATCTCACAAGGAAACATCCTTGCACAGTAGAAAATACTGTTCAATTAAGGAAACCCATACTAAACCATGTTTAACATAATTCTCTATAAATATAACATATTTAAATGACTTAGTACCCTGTAGCAAATCTGAACAATTAATTTGAATAAAGCCTTTTAAAACTTCATTACTAACTTGCTGGATCAAAGTGCAGTGATCACTAACATTCATTTTTGAATATGTGCAGTTTTGTTTTTTTATTAAAGAAAATGTGAATTTGCTAATGGAAACATATACTAAGCAAATACTTAGTTTGCAAAGTCAAATACAGCAAAGGAATGCCAAATTCTTTTTTCTATGCTGGTATCTCCTCTACTATTTTATGTGCTATGTTGAAGACACATTATTGCACCAGTGAAGACTGATTATTGTATACGTGCTCGATGAATATCCAGCCAGGCACACCATAGAAATGAATTCCAATCTACTAGCATATTCAAACTTTCAGCTTGAATGTATTATTCTGTAACCCCATCTGCAATCAATATTTATCTACAAAATTCACTCTCATCTCTGAACGCCACCATTTTGATAATGTAGCTTTGTATAAAAATCCTTCTTTTTCCTGATCTTGTTTTCTCTTCCATTTGTCTCACATTTCTTTTTGCTGATAGTCTGTTTTTCTCTATTCCCAAAAGTTCACATGAAGAACGCCTAGCAAAGTTTTGAGGAAAAATAATAGTGGAACTGTTTTTCCATGAGAAAGTATAATTTTTTTCGTCCCTTAACCTAACATGTACGACAAGGGCATCCTGATGCCTTTAGTGCAACTAAATTTGATTTGATTCTTCACAGAGATCTTATAACTATTTTTAAAAATAATTATTCATAAACTGTCTTAGCATTATTCTCTTCCATTTGCTGTTTATTCTTTAAGGTTATTCCTTAAAGTCGCCTTTCTTTTTCTTAATAAGTAGGCTTACATCTTTAATCTAGGTAGGAGTTATTCACTGTTATTCACTATTCACTCTGCTTCTGTATTTCCACTAATATTCAAACATATATCCCTTAAGTTCTTCAGGTAATCCAACATTCTAAGGTATTTATCTGATTTATCAGTAGCTACTGTTATTGCCTTGTGGTCAGGTTTTCCCAAGAGCTTTTTCTAAAACAACCTTTTTTTCCTCACACTTCTTTCAAATGTCACTCTTCAGTTGTCACATATAATCTGTCTCTCCTAAAATAGCCAAATTTATCAATATATCTGAAAATATAAAACACTCTATTTCAGTCCTCACTCATAATTTTACAGAGCACTGGAGAGAGTTGTCTCTCTGCCACAGCCTTATATGCCAGATGGTGCAGATATTTAGGTCCCTGTTGATATCTTTTTTAAAAAAATCCCAAATATTAGCAATTTTACTAGGATTCCAGATATTTCTCTTCACTAGTTTTGGATTCTAAAAGACATCTGCCAAAATGCTTTCTTCAGTCTATAGGAAATTCTGTTTGTATTTGCTTTGCATCTCCATACAGTGTTGCAAAGAACAACATAACAGCACTGCACAAAAGTGCCACTGTGTGGAGGAGCAAATGAGCAGATGGAAAAAAAGATCAAAATGGAGATTTTTTTTTAGTATAAAGAAACCATTGAAAAAAAAGGTAGAAAGCACTGCAATGAACTCTTTAGTGATAACAACTCTTTAGGCAGACAAAGGCAAATAGAAAACGGACATTTTTGAGCTAGCTGAGCTGTCTGTGGAAGAATTGTGTGTTGAGGACATTCAAAAGGGAGCCAGAATGCTCCACAATAAACTAGCACCAGTTGCTGACAATGTTCCCAGGAAATTATTTAAAACAGGGGATAACAAGCTAAATCAAAGCCTTCACTAATTGCTTCAGTTGTATTTCAGGGCTGAAAACATTTCCAAAGAAGAAATACAAAGTACTTGCACGTCCAATTTTGAAAAACAGAGGACGGTGTCTTCATCCCTACAACAGTTTATCTGTCTTTGTTAGTTTTATACAGATTTTCTAATTTTACAAAAAAAAAAAAAAAAGGAAATTATCAGAAAAAATAAGACCCATGTGTATTTAATATTTTCATTTCATCAGCTACTATAAACTGTGCATCACATATCTAGTATTTGGAAAAATTAATATATTGTGCACTGAATTACACTATCTCTTCTAAACAGGTGTGCTACTAAGAAATGTCCTGAGTGAACAAATTTTGACACACCAATCAATATCTGTGCAGCAAACACTATTGAGGGTGCTACCTTGAGAACTCTTCCGAAATGAGTCTGCTTACCTCACACTAGTTAAGCAACAGCAAACGAAATACAAAATTCACTTCAATATGCATAACGTTATTGCTACTTTAATCGCCTCCCCTCTGTTTTTCCTCATTATTAGGAGAGAAATCTACATTTACTAATAAACTATGTAAAGAATGTCTCTAGACAATGCAGACTCTTGCCTAGGGCAATTTTATTTAACTGCCCAAAGCAACAACAACAAAAAAACGCCACCTTTTAAGATTCTAAGTCCCCATTAAGCATACTGCTTCGTATGGCAATCATGCATGAAAAGAAATACCATTTTACCTTATTTCCATTTTAAACTTTTCATAGAAATTTTTAATGTGGATATTATTTGAAAAGGGAATACAGACTTACAACTTTTCAGATCACAAGAAGCCACAACATCTTTTGCAGCAATACTAAAATCCCTTTAATAGTGTTTTATTGTTCCCTATATCTGGTATATAAATTTGAAAAGAATATGCTTTATCATATGACCTTGCATTTATTCCTTATTTCTGTTCTTCCAGACTTTCTGTAAAATCACCTTTTTCCTTTAATGTAATTATGCTTAGGCTAGAAAAGGCTATTTTTTAGTCAAGAGTAAACAAAACTTAGTGATCTTCTAGGCATTTTACTGACCTAACCAAACCAACCAACGACAAACCAACTTTTATCATTGCTAACGCATTTTCTACGTATCTGAGCATTTTTTTTCCTTCTCTACCTTTTTCCCACACTGAAAAAGAATCTTCCACTGCACTTCCTTGCAAAGATGACGAGCAGTTTTTTGAGCCCCTCCATATATCTCTAACTTTTCAATCACGTTATTTCTTCACCTAGCTAAGATCTCTCTTAAATGCAAGCATTTGTTAATTATATTTAAGCTCATCTTTTAAGCCTTGCTATGCCAATGTACATCATGGATGCAAACAGGGAAGACTTCTAACATTAAATAATGGGGCTCCCCACTCTTATAGCACATCACTTTATTTATAGCTTTCAGCCCACATTTATTTTAGATGATTCTTAAATGACTTCGGTGGACTCCGTAGGGCTTACCAGTATTTTTAATTGCTTTCAGTGAAGAACTTTGTCAAAAGCCTTTTGAAAGTCCAAATAAATTAGATCAAGCATTTCTTCCTCATCAATTATTTTGATGACATGTTCAAAGAACTCTAACAGATCACAGAAGGGTTTCTTTCAGCAAAGCTAGTCTGGTTTCTTTTAGTGAGATTTAATCTAGATTTTTGTTCATAGTTCTATTACTAATGAGGTGGTCAAGCCACTTGGTTAATTCTGAAGCAAGACTTCTGCAAAAACAGCAAAAAAAAAGGTCTAACATGCATTAAGTTTTAGTTTTTCTATAGGCAACTAGGTGTTCATAGAAATTTGCATCTGCTCATCCCTTTCTGTTCCCCATAAATCTTGTTTGTAGCCAGTCAGTCACCCAATCCTGCTTTCTTCCCAGTCTTTAAATTTCTTAGTATTTCATTTAACTGTCTTAGTTTAATGCAACATCTAAGCCTTACTCCATGCTGTAGCAGAATACATGTAAATACGCCTTTTGACTTCTCTATAACACATATTTTTACATGTCTCTTTATTCTTTACCCCACAGCAGATCTAATGATACTTTCATAAGTTTTCTGTTATTTTTCTTAAAACTATCTTTGTAACCTCTTTCATCTTTAGCTATACAGTCTTCAGGCTGTATCCTATATCTTCCTTTCTTTCCTGTCATATTTTTTGTCATTTTAATTGTTCCTCATGGTTTGAATTTACTTGATACACTATACATTTGGGATAAAAATAGCTACTTCTTGCAATTTAGTATAATTTAATCTAATTTAAAATAATTTTATTGATAATATAGAGGCTGACTTACCATTTGCAATGGTAGTCAATTGTGAATTCACAGTTATTATAATTAGTTTTAAGTTCACAAAAGACATTTGCATTTCTCCTTACCTTTAATTACAGGGAGTGACAATTGGACATTTAAATATTATCACATATGGCAAAAAAAATGAAAGCCTATTATAAATAGTTGCAAGGATAGAAGAAACATGGTAAATCAATTTTTAAAATCAATTTTTGCATCAAATAATTAGAAATTGTTAATCTATATACAGCTTTTCTGCAGCTTTTTTTACGGTGTGATTTTGTATTAGACAAAGTTTCATTTTTCCATTTTTCTTTTCTTAGCATATATTCCCTTTATATCTCTTTCTGCCACAGAGAATTAGAATATATACTTTGGTGTGTTCTGCACAATGTTCATTTGCAATAATTAGATGTTACTATTTTCCTACCAAAATAAAATGATCCTGACGTTTCCTTTCTTCCAGAAAGCTCTGGCAGACTTTCCCCAGTCTGGGTAGGGTTTGTCCTGAAGCATCATATCAGTGACCTAGAGAGGAAGACAAAATATTGCACAGTTAAACTGGTGTCACCAAAGCAAACACTGGTTAGGACAATAAGTGCGTTTTTGTTTACATATGGGGTGTCTGTTTCAGTTCTGATAATTTTAATAATCAGATCGTAAAAAATAAACTTTCCGATGTTCTTATTCACAACGAACTTAGAAGAAAACAAGAAGAGTTGTGGAGATCCTGAGATAAGAGGACAGGACTAAGTGAACAAATTACATGAAAAGGAAAATAGCTAGAAAACATAGAAAAAAAACCCTGCTTGCACATTATAGCTATGAAGCTGACACATGTGTGACTTTCCTGGCCTGGTTCACTTACAGCATCATCAATAAAATTTTGACTCTGGAAATCTGAATTGTGTTCCAGGGAATTAAAGCCTGTGAATTAAGTGCTAGATGCCATTTATAACTTTCTCCTGATGCCTGGTATTACAAAGAACTAAAGTTCTCCCCAGAACTTAGATCTTGCATAATGTTTAAAAATATGAAATACTTATATCACTTTTGTAATTCATATTTAAAGGCACTGCCTACTGCACTGATGGGAAACGGCATCTTCATATGCATTTATTTCAGGTTAACTTACAATAAAACAAAGTAAGTTACGTTAGATTAAACTCATCAATTCTGTTGTACAAAAGACCCAGAAGAGTGGAAAACCTATGTATACATATAAATTAAAAAATAACTGAACAAATAAAGGAAATAGACGCCAGTGCTTGCTACAAAAAAACAAATAAAATAAATCTTACTATCCTTCATTGGTATCAGTACACAGTGGAAAATTATTAATGAGATTTCAGAAGGAAAAAGGCTGTTCTCATTCACTTCCATTGAAGTGAACATTTCTTATTTTTATTTTCCACTATATTTATTTTAATATATAGAATTTTAAAAATCAAACTTATCATACAGAATGTGAGCTGCTACTTTCAGTCAGATGCATTTAACAGAATGTCCAAAAAGAACACAGAGCCCATGATTAAAATAGTTACACAAATTCAGCTTTGAAATGTTGGTTCCTAGCCTGCTTGAGGTTAAAAGAGCTCAGTAGCTTGCAGGATTGACTCCAAATGCATATTTCAAGCATATTTGGACTACAAATAGAAGTAAGAAGTCAAAAGTTTTATGATTCCATTATCCCTAGCCTGAAGAAAGAACAGATTATATTCTGAAATATCATTTTTACTAGTTGTTTTCTGTAGGTATTTTTTTCTAAGATCAGCATGCTATCATATTTTTAATGAATCTATTGGCTACGCAAATATTTTGACAAATAATGCCAAATAAGACCTCTATTCCTTTAGTAATACTTATTCTCCTAGAAGGACTCTTTGTAGTAATAAATATTTGCAAATAAGAACAGTTATTTGTAAACGTTTTATTCAGTTTTCAGAATATTTTCTCCATGGTCTTTCTGGGAAATACTTCTTAGAGCTGGTAGAATGATACAATCCACTGCTCTATGACCAATTACTACGGCAGTGCACTTCAGAAGAATGACATTCAAGAAGGAGACATTTTCTGGGGAAAATGGCAAGTTGAGGCAGGAAATGTTCTTTGTGATAGCAGACAGTTGGTCTTTCATCTCTTAGCTTTGGCATTTATTTAAAGTCATATCACCAGATCAATGTCAGGTCAGTCGCAGCTAAATTGGCTGAAGCAGAGACAGTCATTAAAGGGATGCATTCCATAAAGAAAAATCCAATTACCTTTTGCATTAGAGAAATCAAATTCATTTTCTGGTTTGGTCAAGGACAGTGGAAAGTGGTTTATGGGAGAAAAGTACTCAACACTGTCACAGTGCAAATATTGTTTGGATAGGAACAGCCAAACCTCATTACTGCTGTTGGAATTATGTTTTTAGACAAAGAAACAAAAGCAGAAAAATGTAAATTTAATTTACACAATTTAATATAAAGATGAGTGTGTGTGTGTGCACCTCTTTCAGCTCACAAGGCAATTACTGTCCAGCAAACATTCTCCTCTGTTTTACAGGACTGAATTTGAAAACATTGCTGATATTCAGGAACAGAAAATAATTGCTTGCCTCAGTAATTCTATGCATGCATCTTATTTAATCAAGATAAAATGGGAAATGCCACTTACAAAATAATTAAGTAATGTATTTTTTCTTGGGGAACTATGAGATGCGATATTACCCTTTAATCGATTAATTACACTGATTCAATACGGAAAAGGAATGGCTTTTTATAATGACTGGAATGACTCTCATTTTTTGTGTCTCATGAGAGTAATAGCTACATTGTATGAAAGTGCACAAATGAAACTGCATGAAAAACACTGACTGACTTTTTAGCTTTCAAAAGGCATAGAAAAATATTTTCATTTTAGAAAGAAAATTAGCATGCCTTGTAATATGTAATGGAACCTTAGATTTCACTTTAAAAAGTATAGATATAACTATTAAGTATTCATATTATTCAATTTATATTAGCTAGATAGCTTACAATGCCTTTTAAAGGGAATTTTATCATTAGACCTGTGACAAAATAGTATGATTCACAATTTTTATTACAGAAAATCAAATGGCTCTTTCTGATATGTGAAAAATTATGCCGTATCATACACATGTAAGAACCCAGAATTCAAAATCATGTTCTTTTCAGGTAATTTACATGGACAGAATGTGCAGAAAGTAAAATTATAAAGTGACAATGGGAAAAAATAACAACAGGATGCCCTAAGACTCATTTATTCCTTCCGTATAGTTGCTGCTAGAGCACATTGACCAAGATGCTTAGCACACCTAAGGTGTGCTAATAATAATGTGTCAAATACTGCAGCAGGACAAGCCACATCATCCTCCCCAGCAAAGGCAATATCTGCCATGGGAGTTTCAGGTAAGCCTATCTGCCTTTTCCAGTAATGAGCTAATTGCAGCTGAAACTTTATTTTAAAAAAAAGAAGAAAAGAACCTAATATCGTGGCCCTGCCTTCAACCATACCTTCCATATTCTTCACTAGTAGGAACTACACTGTGTCTTCCGAGCATGACAATAATTCCTGGAAAAATAGCGTGGCATGGGCTGCCGGACAAGCTGTTTTCATCTGCCAAAATTGTATTTTAGAAACTTAACAGTATAGAACTGCATGGAGCAGTTTTGTATTACCACTTCTCCATACAAGCAACAGCAGAAACTGCATCTTGAAAGAGAAATGAGCTCTGGACAATACCTCTTAGTCTGCAACATAGTCCATGTGAAAGTCTGTTACATGCATTATGTATCAACAAACATTCAGGGGAGGATTTTCACTGCTCTACTCCTACTTTTATAATTTTTTAGGGTAGGATGACAGCAACACTCCAGACTTTGGCAGAATATAGAAGAAGCCCTGATCCACAGGAAGAGCCAATACAAATCGTATGAACGCTGAAACCTTTATTTCTTGATTCAGTCATGAGTTGTGCCAGGTCTAACAGAAAACAGAACTGCAACATCTTATATCAATGAAGAAGTTACTTCATGGGGCTATTGCTGAGAAACAGAGCAGCTGGAATAATCACAGAATGGTTGAGGTTGGAAGGGACCTCTAGAGATCGTTTAGTCCAATCTGCCCTGCTCCAGCAGGGACACCTAGAGCACGTGGCACAGGGTGGCATCCAGGCGGGTTTGGAAGATCTCCAGAGAAGGAGACTCCACAGCCTCTCTCGGCAGCCTGTTACAAGGCTCTGTTACCCTCACAGGAAAGAAGTTCTTCCTCATAAGAAGATGGAACTTCCTGTGTTTTAATTTACACCCATTACCCCTTGTTCTGTCACTGGCCACTATCAATTAATTTTGCCTTTGGCAAAATTATTAATAAGCAAGTGAAAAATAGGTAAGATGATCACCCTGCTTGCATCAAAAGAACTGTCAACAGTATATTCTAAGGAATGTTTTAGAATAGCAATGTCTATCTTTAGCATAATTTAATTTTTTCTCTCAACTGTACATTTCTACTACTGTCATGTGTATAACAAGTCCTGAAGTTAAATTAATGTTTTCTATTAAATTCATGGTGTTTGATGATGTCAAGGTATGAAGGCAGCAAGAACTAACAAGTGTAACTGAGTGCATGTGTCTAGTTCTATTTGGTTTGCTTTGTGGCAACATGTATTGAGGTAAGAGCTACATATAAGTAATTATACATCAATTCTTTACTGTAACTCACTCCTCCAGTGAGCTACTGCATCATGGTAAACATACACCAAATCAGAAAAAAATGCTTAGTATTCAGTCACTAAAAGCTTCCAGACATTGTTTTTGTCTTCATTTGCTTTTAAATATTTAAAAAATTGCATAGCAGTTCACTTAATGTACAAAAGTTACTTAGAAGGTAAATGGTCTTAGGGTTCTTTCAACTAGACGTTAGGGAGAAAACTATCTTGCATTTAACATACCTAAAGGTTTTCATGGCTTATACATTGCTAGTATGAAATATCTCCTCCAGTTATGAAATTCTTTTGGCAAAAGTGTCAATAATTTTGTTACACAACCTCAGAAATAATTGTCGATTTATTTTAAACCCCTCTGCTGCATCTGGGAATATAGGAAGTGGGAAATTGTTTGAAAACTAATATTAATACTGACATTTACTGATCTATGAGGGGGATAACATATTTCAGGCTTAGCATTTGTCAACTGCAAATACAGCTGTTGTTTTATTACTTCCCCTCAAATTTAATTTTAAGAAATACACTTTGTATTTCCATTTTCAAAGTAACAGCAAACAGACACAAAATACAGCCTCTTTAATCCACTCTTTTGGTTTTTTTTTCCTGTTTAATCAGAGCTAACACATTGTTTTTCTTGTCATCACTTTAACAACAGGTAAATTCTAAAAAGTAACATTAATTTGCTGTCACAATTAAGTGTTCAATAAACATGATAAAAGATAATATTACACTTCATTTTTGTTGCTTCTGCAATAGCAAATGATATTACTTTTTGCATTTGTACAGCTCTAATCAGTAA